GCTGCAGGGTTCAGCATTCTCTAGCTTCTAGACCAAATCCAATCTTATTTACAAATGGAAAAACCATTCTTACCTCACGAATATACAAGAAACCGACTGGATCTGGCCCTCAGGTTATACTTTGCTGACCCATGGGCTATTATAGCATTGGGCCAAATCTAATAAAATGAAATTTGATAGGAATAAATGTGAAGTTTTAAACTTGAGTACAAAAAATCAACTTCACAATTATAAGATTAGAGAAGCCTGATTAAAGAGTAGTTGTTTGGAAAAAAATCTAGGGTTTTAGTGTACTGTGAATATGATATGGGTCCTATCAGCGTGATGAGGCAGTCAAAACAGTTAACGTGATCTTGGGCTGCATTAAGAGGAGCAAAACTTACAGGAAGAGGGAGTAGAGAGTACCACTGTGCTCTGCCCTCATCAGACCTCCTCATCTGCAGCACTGTGTTCAGTTCTGGGCACCACAGTTTAAGAGGATCAATGACAAACTGCAGAGTATTCAGAGGAGTTCAACCAGGATGGAGAAGAGTCTTAAGTCCATAACATAAGGAACGGTTGAATAAAGTGGGCATGGTTAGTCTAGAGATTGGACATGATAGCTGCCTTCAAGTAGGCTCTCATGAGAAGGAAGAATTAGACTTGTCCTGTTTGGTCCAAGAGGGCAAAATCAAGGACAAAGGGTGTAAGTTGGAAAGAAGCAAATTTAGATGGTGAGTTCTCTCACCTTCCTGACTTTTTTAAGATTAGAACTGTCCAAGGGTGGAGTGACCTGCCTCCCCCTCTAGATGAATATCCACTACTAAATGCTAAAGCTCAGTGAATCCCTAGGGGCACCATGAAAAAAATTAGAGACACTAAGGGCTCCATAAAACAAAAATGTTTGGGAACCTCTGCATTATTGCCACAATGCCTTTCTCTACAGTATGTATTTTTTTAAAATAACAAAATAAAATTAAAAAAGCATATATTTCATATAACACAGACTATCAAGTATAACTTCTTATAAAGGAAAATAATGTATTCTATCAGCTATCTAATATATAAACACATTACCAATGACTGTACTCTATAAATAAATAGTAATCCTGAAATTACTACTGTGACATCTTTGGGAAGGTCCAAATATATATTGGTGTGTGTGTGTGTACACATATATATGTATGTGTGTGTGTGTGTGTATGTATGTATCTATGTATATATATGTATCTATATACCTATATGTATCTATACATATGTATTTATATGTACCTATACATATACATATGTATCTATACATATACATACATATCTACATTTAAATATGTAGGTATAAATGGGTGGTATGATGACTAACAAATAATTTCATTAGAAACAATGATACTTTTAAAGGGAATTGTTTTACCATCAGTTACCTCTTCATAAGGCAGTAATTAACTTTTCTCACAAGGGTCTAGAGAAATGTGAAAAAAAAAGAAAAAGAAAATGAGGAATATTAATATACCCATAGAAATTTAAGCATTCTACTTTACTAGTTGATTATAAGCACCAGTATTAAATTTCAACCTATATGTCAACATCATAGAGTCCAAGGTAAGGGAAAAGAGGAAAAAAAAAAGGAGAAAACCTTAAATACTTGTCTAAATTTTAGGACCAAGATAATGGGGAGATAGGAATACAGTGAGAAGTACTGAACATAAGCTAATGCTGTCAACTCTTGATTGTACACACTGATGGAGGGGAGCAGCAATATATACAATACAAAACATCAGATAATCCAAAGATCAATTACTCTAAATCGTGTCTTCCGCTCAGCAAATTTACCTTCCTAATTATGATTTGCTGACATTTATATTAAAATTAGTTTGTATTCCCAAAGCACATAACAACTCAAAGTGGGGGAAAGGATTCCCCAATAAAGCAGAGAGGCATATGGAAGCCATTCTGGCATGAATAATTTTCTATGAATTATCCATAAAGTGAGTAAACACCACATGGATAGTTGAGAGTTGACTATACATCTTTCATCTATCCACCTACTTTAAAATACTTAAAATTTTTTTTGCATAATTAATGACAAGTATTTTCTAACCAACCAGTTTAGAGCTGGAACAATCAGAAGCCTGGACTCATCCTCCCAGCTTTCAGCTAATTCTCAGCCATAATAAGCATCCCAGACAAAGACATTAAGGATATGAAAGTAGTCATGAAGAGCCCAAACAAAAATTGCCTTTATAGTCCATCTTGGGTTGCAATAAGATATTGAAATACAAATAATACAAAAATAGATCCAAGCAATTTTTTTTCAAAGTAAACAGAGCCCAAACTGAAGAAAATGGGTCTCATGAAGGTTTCATTGATTAAGTGATTAGTTTGCCAGTGAATGATTATTAGTCCGAAAGGATGGAATTAGTCCCTTCAGCCCTGCCTCCCATGAATAAAATGTGGGGAGTGCTCTCTCTCCCACCCTCTGTGACAGATGATATCTGTTTTCTCCTGTGAGTTTGAATTTAAGAGCCACTGAAGCTCAGCAGCAGTATATTCTGGCTCAAATGAGCTGAAAATTGCATTCAATTTGAATTTCAAAACTGGAGGGGAGGAAGGGGAAAAAAAGCTCAGTACCCATCAAGACTATACTTTTCAACTACTTCCTACTGCTTAGCTGCATTCAGGCTGGCTGGGGATTGAAACTCAGTATATGATGTAGGGAAAGAGCATTATTGGACTATTGCCCAGTCTGAGTTTAAAAATAAACTTTTAATAGTCGGGATCAAAGCAAACCTTCATTTTACGTACATAATGCACAATGCATCCCACCCCCAAAGAAACAGATTTATCTTTTCAAGTCTCAAATTGCATTGGTTTCACTCATATACTTTGCAGGTTCTAAAGACAAAAATGAACTCCCTGAAGGACTTTAGGAAAGCAAATTTTGTCTGTAAAATGTTAACCCCCATCCAACTTCCTAAAGGCCTTTGATTTGCTATAATCAGAATTCTACTTGGTTTGATTTTACTGTGCCCTTTTCTACCCTCCCATTCCTCAAAGACCTGCTTATCAGATCCTCTTTAATCAATAGCTCTTCACCATTTTTGTATCACTGACCTCTTTGGAAGTCTGATGAAATCTACGGAGCTCATATCAGAATAATGGTTTTTAAGTGGATACAATAAAAGGAAACCAATCATATTGAAATGCATTTATCAAATATTTTTCACAAACAAATTTACAGACCTCCCAAGTTAAAGTTTCCTGTCTTAGACATGATTAGCTCAAATTATACAATAACCAAAAAGTTGTGTGAATATTCTATTGTTTTTAATCAAATGATTCTTTAAATGAACTATAAGAAGCTATCATTGAAGGAATCCTATGTTGAATCCCTTTATAAAACAAAGGATGGCTCTACAATAAAGATACTTTGCATATTTGGAAAATTTGGATTTTAGTTTACGAGGTCTTCTTAAATCAAATCACATCTGTAGCTGACAAGAATGAAAAACTAAAGTTGCATGGATAATCCATGGAGTCTGAGGATCTGAGTTCAAATCTAAATTCTGTTACTTATTATCTATGGGATTATTTTATTTCTCTTTTTTTCTTTATTTCTTTTTATTTCTCAATTTCTTCATGGGTAAAATGAGAGGATTGAAACAGATAACCTTTAACCTTTAACAGATAACCTCTTCTATTTCTAAATAATATGTTCCTAATCTAAATTCAGCTCCCATACAGAGAAGAACAGTAGATGATACATTGGAACCAAATAACGGCATGAACATGGGTCCAAACTTGACAGTTTTACATAAAGGGCAGAAAAACTTCTGCCCAGATTTTCCCAGTGCCTGCGCCAGTCATAAATGACAAAACTTTAGAACACGATATTAACTCTTTGAAACTACGAAAGCCCGATAATGCAAAGTGAAACAGTAATTTGAATAATAGTACTGAGAAAATATGTTAGTTTTTCCTTAGGGAGCATCCTGAAGGTGTCTGGTACTGTGTAAGTTTGTAAAGGTACATTGTTGATGACCATGAGTTTAAAAATAAACTCAATAATACCAAAGTAAACTGTTATTTTATGTACATGATGACTTGACACTCAGGTTAGGTTGAGGATTTTTGATGGTAACCAGGAAAGTTAAATACCACTTACTGTTGTTTCCAAAAAGTACCAATTCCCACAGAATTAAGAGAAATGAAAGAACGGTAGGCAAGAACTCAATATCTGGAGAGTAGAGGGATATTTTATTCATTGTCTGTGGCAAAACAAAGCTTTTATATCTTTTATCTGGGGGTGGATACAGGAAAAGAGAGTAGCAGTAGCTAAAAAATATTAGACTTTGAGTCAGAAGACCTGAATTTGAATCACATCTTTCCTGTTTCATACCTGAGTGACCTTGAGATAGTCATTTTATCTCTCCAGGCCTCAATTTCTTCCTCTGTAAAATAAAGGGTTTGGACTAAATCCTAGATCTCTTGCAGTTTTAGATCCTATCACCCTAAATGTGAGAATTCCTGTAAAGTTTGACTATGGCCACAAGGATTTTTCCAGGCCATTTTATGAAGGTTATCTTACCCTGAACTTAGGGGATAATTATTTTCCCTCATTGCAAAGCATTCCCATTGTTCCTCAAAAAAAGAAAAGAAATCCAGCCGGACCCTAAAAACCAGTAGAACCATAGGTAGAATATCTGCTTCCACTGAAATAGCTTTTGGAAATTCAAAGCTAATACTAGGAGTTGAATGATTTCTATTAACCACATTCAATAAATTTTATTTGCTTAAATATTCAATATTAAAATAAAACTTTTAAAAATAAAAAATGAATTCCCATATTTTTAATAAGTTGATGCTAAGATTAGTTCTACGTCCCAGAGAGGTTCATTTCCAAAGTAAGCTGCTTGTTATTACATAGATGACAACTAAGTGTGTATCATAAGTGATTATCATAAATATGATTATCAATGATAACCTGACAAATGATATATTTGTCACATGGCACATGAGGAGCAGCTTACCTTTTAAACTTCAACAACGTGTGCACAGGAATTTTTCTTACATCTTCATAATTCAATATTGTTTCGTTGATGAACCAGTAAATTGCCAGCTCTATTCATTTATGTGATATGAGCAAGGATCCAACCCAAAAAAAGGAAAAAAAAAGTAAGGTCAGTTTTCTTGGCTACTACATTTAATAAAATTTCCCAAGGCAACAGGGTTAACCACACATTAATAGATATGACTTTGGATGGAGACTTCGCCTTTAGCAATTTTTTTTTTATTTTTCCATATCCATACTCAGGACTGTATTAACACTCAAAATAAGCTAGTCTTTATTGTTTTAAGTTTTCTTCCTTCCAAATTTTATGTGCTTTATTAATCTTCTGCTCCTCCTTTATTTATAGCTAATACTCTGCTTAAGGTTTCAAAGCATTTCCCATTATAACCCCCATTTTTAACTTTCAAAAATATTCTTTGATCAGAGGGACCAAAGAATTTCTTATTTGTTATACACTGGTCCCAAATTTATGCATTTCTCCCAATGTTGGGTACATTTCTTCTTTCTTTTTTATTTGGCAAGATAAAAGAAAAGATAAGGTCAATCTTTCTGCTTAGAAAAAAAATGAGAAGACTCTTTTAAATAACTCCACTGTATGAGTTAAACAAATGAATTTTTAAAAATATGGTTCCAGGTAAAATGCTTCCTAAGGGAAGCCTGCCTTCTCAAAGCCAGCTGTACCTTTTCTCTCATGAATGAGGACATTTTGGAGTACCAATGGAATCCTCTGACATTTCAGAGTACCAATGGGATCCCTTTGATGTCAAGGGGAGCTCTGTGCTCAGTTCCTAACAGTGGGGTGCCTGCTACCAAAAGAGCAGCTGATAGACCCCTAACGGATTAGCTTGGTGAGTACACATACGGTTCCTGAAGTACAACATGGGGGAAAACTAATTAGCAAAGTGGCACAAGGCCATTTTCCATCACACCCTTGAGGCCTACTTGTGGTAACTGTGTACTTTAGAGTGTGAGTGCTTCAAAGAGGGTTCCATGTTGCGATGAGAAGATTCTATGAGAGGCCTGTTAACAGTATTCACCAGTGCAGACCTTCAAACCCATATTTTTTTCCTTTGTTTTGCTTTTTTATTTTTTAAGAGAGAAGGAAGGTTAAATAGCAAAACAACAATTACATAAAATTAAGGTTGTAATTCTTCCTTTCTCTCACTTTCCTAAAGTAGGAAATCAGAAAAGACAGCTTTCAAGAAATCTTGACTAATCATTCATTCCAATGGAAGAACTAATAAAAGTAATTTTTAACAAGGGGACATTTTAAAAATCAAGGATTACACACAGAGAAGTATGAAAGCCCCACAGCTCACCATCCTGTATAAACAGACTTAACAGGAGTCTCGAATCAGAGTGAGGAATATGCAGGTAGATAGGAAGTTGGGAAGCTTTCTAGTTCATGGTAGCGCAAAGGAAAAAAGGAGGATTGTAACATGTGGAAATAGAAAAGTCATCGCTGTCTGGAGTAGCATATAGGGTATGTTTAGCTTCACTACATTGCAAACACGCAATGAAATATTAGGAGACATTAAAATATATAATCCTAATTGATATTAAAGGATAAGGGAAGAGAATTTATTCATGCTGAATATAAAGAAGTTTGGGATTTTATAAGTGCAAGAGAAAAACTTGCACAGACAATCTCTTCTTACGCATATTATATCAGAAATGTTGCTTAAAAATAGTTCATTTGTATGTAACATCATCCACTTAATGCTGGCAATGACATTGAAATCTGAGATCACTTGCTGCATGACAGTGAACTTCGTAACTTAACATTAAAAAGTTATAAATTGCCTCAGCTCATCTAAGAAAAGGCCCTAAACACATGCGAGGTAATATTGTATTATAAAGGTAATTGTCTGGCCCCCCTCTCCTTTTGACTCCAAGCATACCTCCATTTCCCCACCACCACTACTCCTCATCATTTGAACATTCCACATGAGATATACAAACAGCTGACATGTACATGGAAGGAAGCTGCCGCCGGAGTCCAGGAGAAGAGCTCTCTGAGACACCTTGCTTCCTTCAAGTCATGTGCCAGGCACTGAGTGCTGTGATGGGGATGGGAGAGGTGGAGGGGAGCTGTAGTTCTATTGTTCTTTGGAGAAATATCAGGGGAATGAATCCTAGGAAGAAGGTCTTAAGTGAATGATCTGAGACAGTGTTTCAGAAGTCCCAGCATCAGGGGTCTAGGTGAAAAATAAGTTGTTATTGTTGTTGTTGAGTCTTCATTTTCTTTTTTTTTTCGGTATGGAAATTGGGGTTAAGTGACTTGCCCAGGGCCACACAGCTAGTAAGTGTTATGTGTCTGAGGCTGGATTTGAACTCAGGTCCTCCTGACTTCAGTGTCGGTGCCCTATCCACTGCGCCACCTAGCTGTCCCTTGAGCCTTCATTTTCAAAGAGGACTGGAAGGACAAGGAATCAAGAACTGGACATGTCCGTTGCCTCCAAATCTCCATAAATGTAACTGTCTCTCACCTATTCTGTTTTCTCTGATTCTCTTCGACTTCCAATTCTCCCTTTCCTCTCAAGAATTACAGGGAAGGGGAAGTAGGGAAAGGACATATTACTGTTAATATTGTGGTTCCTTCTTGGCATATATTGATGCACCATAGAATACAATTTCCCATAGAATCATTTGTAAATGGGAATGAAGCTCCCAGGCTATCCCACAAACACCTACTTAACTTACAATGTAACTGAAATTCTAAACATTTTTAATAGCACAGGGTTTTTTTTTTCTACTATTTGTCACTTCCGTATATGAGATCCTTGTATAATAACTAAATGGACAGACCACTGGAGAAATGGAATCATATAAATTATAGCATTCTTACTATAAATGAAATCAGAAGATAAAAAGAAGGTGCAGCCAAATGGAAGACTGAAACTCGGATTCTTCTTATGGAGGCAAGTAAAGGAATTGGTGGTATTGGTCTTATCATGCATTCTAAAGGCAATCATTTCATGAGACATTTGGTCATAACATAATGCAGTGCTCATGCAAAAAGACCACCATAAAAATAATTGCAGCTTATGAACCAGTATATTTGTTGCAGAGAATAAAGGGGTAGAGAGGTACTCGGATGGACTTGGTAAGATTCTCCAAATTAAATCAACACTCAGTGCCTGGCAGATAGTAGGCCCTTAACAAATACTTGATGACTGACTGACCAAAGGTGCGCTTAGGCGAGGACAGCAAAAAACACATTGGAAATATGATCCAAAAGTAAAGAATGTGAGAGGCTCCACTTTCCCCATCTCCAGGGCTATAAGTATAATACATAATACTTCAAAAGGTAAAAGCACAGAAGCAAAAAATCAGAAAGAAAAAAATTTAAATATCTATTTCTATGTAATTTTAGTGTATAAGTACACAGTAAAGTATACAAAGAGGAAGAAAGGAATTTCTCAGCTTTTCTATCTAGTTACTGTATACCAGATGTATTTAACTTGGTTTGATTATTTATCAAGACGAGGATGCTTTGCTTTGCCTTAGAGTACATAGTACTCAACTACGCGCTTAACTAACATATAGCTAAGATGATTCTTACTATCAAAGGGAGGTAATGCAAGACTGAGACAAAGTAAAAACCATGTGAGTGTCAAGAGGGGGCATTCCAAGAATAGATCAGTTTTGTGAGCACAGATGGGTTTATTGGGGACTCAGAGGAAGCACACAGGGGTGGGGAATCTGTGGCCTTGAGACCACATGTGGCTTTCTAGAACAACTTCATTGTTTTGTAAAATTTGGATTCAGTTAAAGAGGCACACTCGAGGACCTAGAGGACCACATGTGGCCTCGAGGCCATAGGTTCCCCACCCCTCTTTTAGGCACTTAGATAATATACAACTAAGGTGCTTCTTGCCCTCAAGATGGTTGCAGTCTAATGGAAAGAAAGAACATTAATATTTATATCAGTACATTGAAAGGAAAGGGATGGGGCAGAGAGTATGTGGGTGAGTTGGAAAGTGAACTATAGGTTTGATCCTATTCCTTCCCATCTCCTTTAGAATCTTGGTCAGATAACGTTATACACCTTCAATCCTCCCCTCTCATCTTGTTTCATCTGTAAAAATGTTCTGTTTTCCCTTTGGACCCTCCTCCCCTAGGAAAAAAAGGCCTTTTCTTGAATCTGCTATCCATTGAAACTACTGTGGTTCTGCCTATTCCTTCCCTATAAATTCCACACTTGCAGAAAACTGTTCAACACTGAGTGCCTCTACTACAACAAACCTCTCCAAATATAATGTCACAGGCCACACTTTGGTGCAGTGCCAGAAACATCTAGGACTAGGGAAAGAGAAAGAAAAGTCATTAACAAACATTTACTAAGCACCTACTATGTGCCAAAGGCAGCTAGGTGGCACAACAGGTAGAACACTGGGCTTGGAATCAGGAAGATTTATCTAATAAGTGTCTTCTCGGACCCTTACTACCTGTGTGACTCTAGGCAAGTCATTTAAACCTGTCTGCCTCAGTTTCTCATTTGTAAAATGAGGTGGAGAAGGAAATGGCAAACCACTCCAGTATCTCTGCCAAGAAAACCCCCATATGGGATTACAAAGAGTCAGATACAACTGAAAAACAACTGAAGGACAACACCACCACCACACTGTGCTAAGTGCTCAGGGAAACAAAGAAAAGCAAAAACAACCCCTGCTCTCAAGGAGGTCACAGTCTAATACTTAAAAAAGTAAAAACAAAGGCTGGACAAGAGCGAGTCTTGAAAGCAGCCTACCACAGCTCCTAAGGGAAGGAATGCAAATAAAAGTAATTAAAGATGAAATGCCTTCATTCTCCTTTCTTCCCTGAAAGAACTAAAAGGATTCCAGAGAACATTGTACAGAGTAACAATATAGTAAGGATGGTTAACTATGAAACACAGCTATCCTGAACAAGACAATGCCAATGGATCCACAGTAAAAATGCTATCTATTTCCTGGATGAGAACTGATAAGCTCTGAGTGAAAATTAAAGCATATTTTTTCACTTTCTCTATTTTTCTTGAGGTTTGTGTGTGTGTGTGTATGTGTGT